GTTTTATAGTTGTTCAAAAGATAACTGAAATATATTATCCAATATTGTTTTGTACAAAGTTTTACATTTTTAATTGGACAGCAAACTGCAAAGAGTGCTAACCCACAAACTTGCTTTGATCAAAATTGGAAAAAATTCTCCAACACAATTCAAGGAACTTTTAGGGCTTCTAAATGTGACTTGATGAAAGTGCATTAAACTTTTTTTTTCACATGAGGAATTGGCTCACGTTCATGGAAGTCTAGAATGGCAAGGGTGACCCTGTCAGTCCATGGAGATCCCTTTTGCAGGCCAATTCCATAGCCAGAGCGACCAAACAATTCCCCAGCAGTCACCAAATCACAGTCTTTGGCAGCTTCATACTCCAGCCTTGAGCTGTCCCAGATGAAGGCATTCAAGTCCCTGAAAAAAACATATACCATCTTACAAATGCCAAAAGCTGTCCTAAAAAATATTTCCATTTTCTGGACATTCAATGGATGTCACAAACAAGACTTCAGAAAATTCTGATGTTCCATGATAAAATATGTCACCCATCAAAGTTCAACATATATTGGTTCACTTATTATCACACAATGGTGGCTTCATCAGGTAAATTTTCAGTTAGTCTCTTTTTCTTGGCAACTCATTACAGTAAAGTGACCTCTATTTCACATACTGGGAAGAACTTCAATGACAGAAATTATTTTTTTGCTATTATCATAAATGATTTCAGATATATAAGCAAAATAAAGTCATACAGCACTTTTTTCCTTGTTTGGGAGAATTTTGATTACATACCCAGCTTTGACAGCAGCAATGGCATCCTCAGCATTAGCAAAGTTCTTTTCCTCCATGGTCCTGTACATGTTGGACAGCTCAACTTGTCTCCTGAAGTACATGTCAACTGCACTGGCTCTCACAGTTGCATATGTGAAATTCTCCATGGGGTTCCTCAGCTGAATAAAGTCAGAAAATTAGTTCAATCAACATGAAAAATAGAAGAAATTATACATTTATACACTTAACTGAAAGCAGAAGAAACATCTCAGCTACTGTATATTCAAAGTTTTGAATTCACTAAAATTAAACATTTTTATAACGGTTTTTATAAAGAATATTATAAAATGGTTTTTTATAAAGAATATTATAAAATGTTTTTTATAAAGAATATTATAAAATGTTTTTTATAAAGAATATTATAAAATGTTTTTTATAAAGAATATTATAAAATGGTTTTTTGTAAAGAATATTTCACTCAAAAGTTCTTCTCTCAAACTTTAATTTTTGTCAACCAATGGGCGATGAATGATGCATTGCATATTGTCTAATGTTTAAAAATCAGTGATTGTGCACCAACACAATTTGCACCTCTTGACTTTTCTGAAATCCTTACATTTTAGGGATCTTGATTCAGGGTTACCATTGGTATTCCCCCAGGAAAATTTGTTTCATCCATCTTTACAAAATTAAGATCAACACTGCCCAAACTCAATAGAGTGACATCTGGACAACAAATAAGTAAGGAAGTTACCCTGGCATCATTGATCCCTGAGAGGGAAGACTTTGGACGGTCCAGTACCAAAAATGCTGCCAGGTTGGCAGTGTAAGAAGCCACAATGATCATGGCAAATCCTGCCCACACCATGCCCAGGACTCTGCCTGAGAAGCTCCTTGGAGTTCCTATATACATTATCACAAGAATGAAAATACTCAGGAAATCCCAAAAATGTGCTCAGAACATAATAAAAAACATGTGCAAAACAGTTCAGTACTGTACCTTCACCAATGCCAGAGTTGAGCAGGACACCCCAGGCAAACCAAATGGCAGAGGACAGGTTGAGGGCATCCTCTTGGGTGCCAGGTTTGTCAGTCTCCCTGAACCTTCCAAAGGGAGAGAACCTGTCCAGAAGGTACAACACCAGGGCCACCACATGGACAGACACCATCACCAGGATCCAGAGGGCATTCTCAAATGGTTGCAAGAAGGATACCAGACTTGGGGCTTGAGGTTGCTGTAATAACCACAAATCCATCCATCAACCATTTGTATAAGGAAATATACCACATTTATTCCTGGAAATTAACAGAGTCACACATTTCTTTAAAAAATTATCAAATCTCAGTAGAAAGTTATCTGAAAGATTCTACATAATATCAATGCACCTCCTACTTATTGAATTCCTTTCTGCAAAAAATAATGGAACAACACTCCAGAATCAAGTGACCATCCAAATTTAGGCTCACATAAGACATGAATTCAAGTGCTTCCTATACTTGTGCATTCACTATAAACAACATGAAAAAAGTATTGCTCAATAATAACAATAAACAAACACTCATAAAAAGCACATGGATAAATCTTGCATTGGATGCAGAATTTATTTTTTCATGCTTGCTGAAAGAACAAATGTTTTTGTTGTTGAATAAGTGGGATGTGCATCTAACGCTAAAAAAAATTTCCAACAGTTTTCCTTGCATATACTATATTGAGTAGTACAGTATATGACATTCTCATGAAGCTTCAAGATAATGAAATGAGTACTGTACCTTCTTCTCCAAGATGGTGATCCCCTGGTATTTGAAGGGCTTTGAGAAGTCAATGACTTGTGCACGCTCTGGATTGATGGTGAGTGGGGCCACTATCATGTCTGCCCTCTCACTCACAAGTTCTCCAATCAGTCCTGTCCACTCCTTCTTACCTACAATAATGAGTGTTATTCATATAGTCTTCATTACAAAATAACAGCCCATATACTTGTATGTTTTTGTTGGCACACAGTTCCATAGTTTACATCAGTATAAGACACTTTCAATTTATAGTCAGAAACAGAGACACTGAAACCTCAACCTGAGGTGGGTCACCTCATCACCTGTCATCACAAAGCTACATAAAATTGACATATTACTTGAATATGCACAAGAGGTCTGTGCAGCAACTGTTATCAAGTATGTATTAGTCATGAGGGCACTTGAAAGAAAGGTAGAAATAGAATAAACTCTAACAAAACACAATTAGAATAGGTCAGCCTTCAGAGACCACAGAGAAAAGTTGTTGAAACATATTCTAAAATCTTTTCAGAGATTTGGGAATCTGAAGAATTTTTCTGGATGATGCCATTAACCAAATGCCACTAAAAGCTTCATCCAACTGTTGAAAAATTCTTTCAAAAAGTTTGGCAAAGTGAATCAAGCCTCTTTTTGGGATAAGGAAGTCATCATGAACTGAAGTAGATTCACCTAAGTTAACCAAACAACTGGAATCTTGCTGAAAATGGCAAGTGAATTACAGTATATCTAACAGCCAAATGACAAACAATAAATGGCACTGGAAAATCCCCCCTCTTTTAACATTTACAAAATTCTGATGACTATAAACATTAACATTAAAAATTTGTTGGAAGTAATCCTGACAGATTTGAACAAGCACTTGAACCTCACCAGTCTTGTTCATGTACTCAAATGCCCCAAAGGACCCATCAGTGCCCAGGGCCAGTTCAAAAGTGAAATTGATCCTCTTGGACAATTCAGTCAGCAGGTCCATGCAGTAGCCTCTGCAGCAATGAGCCTCTGTTGCTCCAGTGGTGATGTTAAAGTGTGGACAAGAGATCTCAGACTTCTCCTGACTGCACTCATCTCCTACTTCAAGCAGTCTAGAGTACACAAATGGCTTCTCCTTCAAGGTGAGCACCTTGAGGTGTGTAGGAAGGTACTTTCCCCTGGGCTTGCTCCTGGTGTTTCCTGGCCAGATGATCTCTGTTTCCTCAAGGTCCAAGATCATCTTTGTCTTGGCCTTCAGAAAAATTTAAAAAAAGGCTTCAAAACCCTTTCTCTATGGTACAGTACACCAGCTGAAAAATTGAAGCATACCTGGGAAAATGAGTATTTGCCCACAGACACCTTGGCACCCTTGTCCTGGACATTGATGACATCATATTCAGCATTCTTCCTGTCTCCATTTTCATCAAAGGCCACCTTCCCAGTGTAGCCATGGACTAGTTCCTGTTTCTGAATATACCTATAAGTAATAATTTTTCAATTGAAAAATTCAGCTCCTGAGACATTTGAAAATTGGTATTGCTTTTTTTGTAGATCACCTGAAGAAGGTGTCCCCAGTTTTCCAGGCCTCCCCAGTGTTGTTGCAGTCTGTGGGGGCTGGATGAATATCTTCCCTCTCATACATCTCCTTCAAGCCTGACACCATGACATACCTGGAAATTCAATTCATAATAATCAATTCAAAATCCACAAAAAATAATGAAAAAAAATTCAATGTTGATGTCACATACAGTTACAAAATGTAACTCTATCAACTTTATGTCAATATTCTGAAAAAAAACATGAGGAATATACAAGTGAAGACTTTATACACACAATGAATCATGGATGTGGGCTTCTTCATTTGTAGAATTGAACAACTTCAACCCCAGGGCACCTACTGGTACATTATCAGCCTCAAGTGCCTGCTCTGTGACAATCCAGCAGTAGGGCTCTTTAGTCATGCCCAGGGTCTCAGCAGTCTTGAAGATGTTCTCTGAGTCTGACTTACTGTGAAGTATAAAGAGCAAAATGAACATAAAATGAACTCAATACACTCTGGCAAAATACTAAACATTTTTACCTGGCATAAAGTAGAATGACTCTGGATTGTGCACTACCAGCCTCTTTCAAGTGGTCTTCAAAATTTGGGTGACCAGCTTCATACTCAATCACTGCCTCAATCTGTGAACACAAAAAATATTGCAACACTCTCTATAAAACTTGAGGAAAGCATAAAAAGTGATGAGATACATGCCTTGACATCAGTCTCATCCTCCAAGTTGTGTGCAACAGACTGGAACCTGCCCAAAATTGCTCTCCCATCAGTGTCAGAGCTCTGAATAATCACCACCTGGGAGTAGGCCAGTCTTTGCAGCAGCTCCACCCACACATCAGCCTGGTGTGAGTATGGGGGCACAGTCCTCAGGAAAGACACATGGATGTTCTGCAAAAATCACCATCATCATATATACAGTAGCTGTTTTGATATAATAAGAGGTTACCATCATATATAGCTGACAAATCTCAAATGAGGAACAGGTTAAACATCTTTTCAGGAGTTTCAGTATCTTCTCATTGAGTTATTTGAGGAAAAAGTTGCTGATTCAAATAGCCCTATGTAAAAACCACACTTTTGGATCAATAAAAAACTCAAAACAATGGCATGTGTCATTCTCCCAATCATATTTGCAGCATTTTTATATTCCAGTGTTTGCTATGGCAAGATATTCATTATCTTTTGGAATTCCTATGCAACAGTTAAATTCAGCATTATCACCATAAAATAGCCAAGATCAGGACACTTTTCCTAACAAACATGGTTTTCTGAATATTGGGACAGTGCCACTATATTGTACTTTTCTTACACTGTTCCAAAAGATGCAATATTTGATATAAAGTTGAAGTTGCATCCCATTGGAATATTGACTTGATGCAAGCAGGTAACCCCATGGGATACATGATGGTGATTTTTTGACATTAAAAATGTCCCTAACATTCCATTTGGATGCAAAGTTGACACATGGCATTTTGTGTCCTTCAGTCTTTCTTGATACTTTTCCTTTTGGATGCTTGTGGGACATGTGATACCCACATCCTTTTTGGACATGAATACAATGGGTACCTTGCAATTTTACCACCCGTACAATTAGTCCATCCTGAAATTCAATGGTCAAATTTTGGGGGAAGATTGACTTGCAATTTGACCTCTGCCCCACAATTTGACCCACAGAGAGCCACGAAAATGTCAAATATGGCGTAGAAAATTGTGCATATGACATTGCTTTGCACTTCTGAATTCAACCCTAGCCCAGCCAAGGATTAGGGTCAAATTTTGGGGCACCATCTGTACCAGTAAATAGAAATGCTGACACATTCCATTCCAAGTCATCTACAAAGTTTCAATAATACAGTATACAGTAACTTACTGAAATTGACTTCATACTCTTGTTTCCGATAAGTTGAATGAATGAACAGTTTAATACTGTATATATTAGCCAGTATATATATAACCACTCTTCAAATGAAGGATCATCTCTATGGTGCATGCACAAGAACAGTAAATTGTCAGAATCAAAATGCTCCATGAACCACACCATCAGACTGTGTTCTTACCCAAGTGGGGACATTGGTGCACAGCACTGGGGATGTGTCTGTATTTCTATATGCAGTGACCCTGCTGTGCACCTGAAGTGTACCAAAGTTTTTCTGTTGCACATGTATATCCCTAACATGCACCAATTGTGTTTTCACACCAGGGTTACTCAGGGTCACATTCGTAATAATAAATATGTTACACCAAGGTTACAGTTGGTGCATTTTTGTGATACTCCTGTTATGTCACATTTGTGCACCAAATGTAGCGCTGGAATGGTAGCAAAATTTCATTGACAGAGGTGCATGCTTGTAACCCCAGAATAGCCCATGTACACCAGTTTTGACCCCAGTGTGCACCAGTTGTGGGGTCACACAAAGAATAGCTCCCCACTCTGGTAGCCTTTCTCAAGAGACCATGACTGGTGTACCACACCTTATGCCACAATAAAAAACCATGACACAGCTGAGAAAATATCACTATATACTAACCTTGTCGGAGAAAGCAGAGTCCCTAGAACTGATGCCAATCACTGGTATGTGGTAGAACCCTGCTGTGTAAGACACTGCAGCTGGACTCAGCTCCCCAATCACTGGATGGGACACCACAATTGCATAGACCTAATAATGGTAACACCAACAGTTACAAAAGGTCTATGAAACATTTCTATATACCGTACAGTGAGACCCCCACATGTGGACGCCTTGACCTGCAAACAACTTGACATAGGGACACTTATATTCCCAGAAAAAAATCAATAAATAAGGCCTGACATGAGGACACTGACTTGACGTAGGGACATTTTGTGATAACATTACAAATACATTTCAGGCCAAATTACAAGAAACAGATATTTCCAACCTTAAAATTGATGTAAGAGAAGTTCTTGGGCATTTCTCTCACCAAATTGCCATCCTTTTAGCTAATTAAAACAAATGACCTCCATGCATAGAGGGACTTCTCCTTTTTTTCACGTGAATGTTATTTTTGTAGATGCCAACATTTCAGTGTACAGTAGTACAGAGATACACTATTCAATGCTCCAAATGTTCTTATTGATAACTTTTACTTAAGTGACTAAGTTTAAGTTCACCGTTTGTTAAAAAAAGTCCCTTAAGACTTCTTTATTTCTTCCACAAAACACCAATTAAAAATTATGTAATGTAAGTCTATTGGAAAACAAGACTTGACTTAGGGACATTTCAACTTGGGGACACTCTTGATGCACCAATTATGTCCGCATCTCGGGGTCTCACTGATGTAAATATAGTTTACAGTTTCCAAACCTGTTTGGAAATGAGCTCATTGCAGATCTGCAAAGCAGTGAGGATAGGGTTTGGGTTCATCAGCATGGTGGCATTGTACAGAGTCACTCCAGCATGTTTGAACCCAGTCAGTCCTCCAGAAGTGTCATTGAAATTGAACCTCTGTGTTCATCACATTCAAGACCATCATCACCATGCAAAAGAATAAATTTGACACATATACACAGTAAATGAATATAAAATACCTCTATTATGTTTGAGAAATGATGGACGTATTTGTTGTTGCTCAGGACACAGCCCAAATAGAACAAAGTCGGGTTCTTGTGCGGTTCTTTAGGCGCCTTGGCGGCTGTGGCCATTGAGGCGGCGGACGCCAGCAGCCACAGGGCCGCCACCACCACCACCACCACTTCCAACTGTCGCGACATATATATACGGACGCCACTCAGGTTGAGTCACATTATTTCTGCGGCGCCACTTTCGCAAAATTCGAGTGAGATTCGTCTCAGGAAAATCCCTGACGTTCGCAGGGGGAGGCTGAAGCTCCACTGGCGAGAAAAGAAGAGGGAGCGGCAACCCCCTGGATGAGAAAAGGAGGGGTGGTGTGTGTATGACAAAGGTTTGCCAGATGCTGCTTTAGTACCGAACCTCACAGCGCGACTCGTACCTTGTATACACATATACGGAATGAAATTGAAAGTAATTTCTTCCACCACAATTTAGTTATTCCAGCACATCCTGAGGATCCAGTGTTTGAAGAGGAAGGGGTTGCTTTATTATTATTATTTTGAATTAGCTTTTTTTTAAAGAAGTAATTATTTGATCACAAAATTTTTCACCAATTTTGAAGTAGTGAGAAAAAAGGAAGTACAGAAACTCCATTTCATTTAAGAAATCAAAATTCACTCTTGTCACCCTAAATTTAGTACTTCATAAATTTTCAGAGGCAGTGCATCAATGGAATGATTTAAATAATGTAAAAATCTTCTTAGTGAACATTTCCTTGTGCTTGTGAGTTTAGATGAGGTGGTAGCCGTAAAATGTCTTTTGACAATATATTTTTGCAAATAAAAAAGTGTTGGCAAAGGAACCTGGGGTTGCTTCAAGCATTGTTATTGATACTCTGCTAATTTAGAATAATGTATCTGTTTAATCAGGAGGCTTCATTTCAATGTAATTTTCAAGCCATTGAACCATATCTGGAAACTATCAATATACTTTTTTTTTTACATGGAAACAGGCCTGTCTATTCCTGGATGATGCAATCTCAGCTTAAACATTAGCTGAGCACAAGACTTTGAAACATTATGTGATCAAGTTTTGGAATTTAAGAATTACTACAAAGTGAAATGATATGATTTCATGCCCACTGGTATCATTGAGATGCAGCAAAAGCTAGAGATGGGCGGGTATGGTAGAATGTATGACAGAACACAAGCTGGCACAACTGGGAACTGGCAGAGAGGGTGTTTTCTCTATTCTCCACAAGAACCAGGCCAATGTCCCGGATCCTTCTTCAAACCCCTCAAATAACCTTCTGCTGTTCCCAGGAAGCTGTTTTCTGGTCTCTGAGAAAATTGCAGCTTTTTTCAACTATTCCTTCCTTGGTGATAAATGTTGCAAAGGAATAAAGACTTTGAAGATACTTGATTGAACCTCCTTCATATTCTTGTGTTCTATTCAAAGTTAAACCTTGAAAACATGCTCAAGCTGTTAATGTAATTTTAATGTAATTATTCCAATAAACAAAATGGGATTGAACATGAATTCAGGCTTCAGATTTATCTTTCTTAAATAAATTTTTACTTTCAAGAGATAAGTTGTTAGGTGTCACAATTTATGACATAAAAGTGTTCAAGTAACATTCAGACTCTACGAATATTTTCTGTAGTACTTAATAAATGGACTCTAATAATCTAATGCTTTTAGATAATAAACTGAATTTGAATTGGGAAGTGTATTCTTTGAAGATGAAATCAGAATATCTGGTACAGGTATATAGTCTCAATGAGTGCAATTTGAGAAGGAGCTCTTAAAAGAGACAACCAAGCTGGCTTCTGTCCAACAGCCTCCTCTCCCAGATCTCTCACTTTTCCCAGCAGAGAGGATCTTTGCAGACAGAGGGAGGAACATATTCTCTGTCTTTCTATAGCAGCATGGAACCAAGTCCCGCATTCACATCTCATCACCTTCTTTCTATAGAATCCAGAGAGAGAGAGAGAGAGAGAGGGAGTTTGATAGATAGATATATATAAACACATAGAAAGAAAACAATATCTCCTTCTGCTCTCCCCTAGCATGAATGAAGGTCTCCATGCCAAACTTTCTGTACTTGGGTATGAAAGAGTCACCTATCAAAATTATGAAGGACTCCATACGCACTAAATCTGCAATGTTATATATTTTTCAGTTGTTGGCTTCTGTCCTTTGAGAGTATGTTATGCAACTCCATGTAGACAAAATTCTGGGAGTAAGCATTTTCTGCAGATATAGAGTGCTGAAGCACATTTTATTTTCACACACACACAGAGCATGAATAAACAGCAATTTTTGAACAGATAATTCATGCGTTTTCTCTGGGGAAGGTACACTATTTTGAATTTTGTTAGTGGTTTCATCAAGAGTTATTTGGTATAATGGGGTTACAAATTAGCTGATGTTTGAAGACTGCTGGCTATTGTCCATGGGCCTATTTTGATTATTCATAGGTCCACTTTGATTATTCATAGGTCCACTTTGATTATTCATAGGTCCACTTTGATTGTTGTCCATTTGTCCACTTTGATTGTTGTCCATTTGTCCATTTTGATTGTTGTTCATTTGTCCATTTTGATTGTTGTCCATTTGTCCATTTTGATTGTTGTCCATTGGTTTTGAATCTGGCCAATTGTTGTTCATACCAGTAGGACTTTGTCCCCAAGTATTTCCTCTTTTTGTTGGTTGGCTCATACCTTGACTAGTTGTTTGATTGTTTTGGTCAGTTGATTGATTATTGTTTGATGATGCATTGTTGTCCATTGGTCCATTTTCATTGTTATTCATTGGTCCATTTTGATTGTTATTCATTGGTCCATTTTGATTATTGTCCATTGGTCCATTTTGATTATTGTCCATTGGTCCATTTTGATTGTTGTCCATTGGTTTTGAATCTGGCCAATTGTTGTTCATACCAGTAGGACTTTGTCCCCAAGTATTTCCTCTTTTTTTTGGTTGGCTCATACCTTGACTAGTTGTTTGATTGTTTTGGTCAGTTGATTGATTATTGTTTGATGATGCATTGTTGTCCATTGGTTCATTTTCATTGTTATTCATTGGTCCACTTTGATTGTTGTCCATTGGTCTATTTTGATTGTTGTCCATTGGTTTTGAATCTGCCCAATTGTTATTCATACCAGTAGGACTTTGTCCCCAAGTATTTCCTCTTTTTGTTGGTTGGCTCATACCTTGACTCATCATTTGATTGCTTTGATTAGTCGATTGATTATTGTTTGATGATGCATTGTTGTCCATTGCTCCATTTTCATTTTTATTCATTGGTCCACTTTGATTGTTGTCCATTGGCCTATTTTGATTGTTGTCCACTGGTTTTGAGTCTGACCATGGGTTGCTCATACCATTAGAACCTTGTCCCCAAGTGTTGCCTCTCTTGTTGGGTGTGGTCATATCTAGATTCATAATATTGTTTGGTTCATCATTCCCTTGATTGCCCATTGAGCCATTCTGGTTGTCTGTTGTCACATTTAGGGTTTCCATTGGTTTTGAATTTGACCATTCATTATTCATATTATTATTAGAAGTCTGGCCCCAAGTGTCACTTTTCTTGCTCGGTTGGTTCAAGGGGATTTTTTGTTGATTCACTTCAGAATTTGAGGTCTCATTGGATGGAACTTTGTTCAATCCAGGTATAAGCTTTGACCAAAGTTGAGACCAATTGATTCCTCTCTTGCCTGGGTTGACTGTGGAACAAATTTAAATCTCATCAATCAATTCATTGCAATTTGTTGATTCTTTATTATAGAGCTTAATTCTTACCTTTGGCACAAGATTCTGCACAACCTTTCAGCATATAAGCAGGATTTTTGGAACACTCTCCAAGAGATGCCCAGTAAGCACAATGTCCATTTTTGTTTCCTGAAAGAAAAAAAAAACACCATTATACACTGAATACTGCTGATTTATTGACACTTTCAGCATATAAGCAGGATTTTTGGAACACTCTCCAAGAGATGCCCAGTAAGCACAATGTCCATTTTTGTTTCCTGAAAGAAAAAAAAAACACCATTATACACTGAATACTGCTGATTTATTGACTTTACTCAACACTTACCCCTCATCAAAGATCTTCCCATGTCACACTTGTACAATATGTTGATTTTCTTTATGTCAATCTGAAATCATGAAAAGACTTGTCCATGAAGTTTTTAAGCCAGAGTTGTGCTGGACTGTGAACTTACTGGACTGAAGTCAACTCTCTGCCCAATTTCAACTCCAGCTTTCTTTGGTTCAATGGTAACCTTTTGTCCATCAACAGAAAACTCTCTTGCAGAGTAATGCAGTATGGATCCTATCAAAAAGAGCTTTCCATAATATTCACAAGAAATAAAGCTATCAATAATTTGTTTACCATAGTCATAGGGTTGTCCAAGAGTCCTTGAAGTCTCAGTTTTGAAGTTGATCAATGCAGCTATGTTTTTTAGTTAGGAGATATGATGAAAAATTTATTTTACAAAAATACATAAACATTTTGAAGCCAAAAGACTCACCAGGATTTATGTTCTCTTGGTGAATAATGACATACTGGTCTCTGTCCTGTCTGGATTGCTCGTGAAAGAAGCCATACCTTACGTAGTAAAGTACGTACCGGTGAGGACCAGGTGAACGGTTTGTGTTACCGAGGTCCCACTACCTGACAACGGGAGGATAGGAAGGACCCAATGATCGTGTGGACAAAAAAGTCAGTTGTTGATTTCATTATATGCACCCACAGCACTCAAAAGGTTTTAAAAGAATTTCCAGAGCCTGAGATCACAGCATCAAGATTTCAAGAGCTAAACTTCCATGTAAGATACCAGATGTAAGCTTCACTGCATTTTATTTTATAATTTTAGGATACTGTGCAATAAAATAAATTATATGCTGGCAAGGAATCAGAATGTTATTAAATGAATGAATGCAAGAATTGTATCTTTTTCAAATAAAGGCAGTGGAAATATTGATTTTTGCATTCTTATTTCTGAGTATAAAGTTATGATGAGCAATAATGTATTCATAATATTCTAAAAATTCAAGAAAACTCAATTGATACAGAAAAAGAGGCCATGTGGCAAAAATTCCCTGAAACTGAACTTCTCTAAGCTATCAAAAACAAATGAGAAATATGCAAAATTGCTGCTGTTTTAAAACTCTGATTGTGCCAAATACCAATGAT